TCCAGTCTGTATATGGCTGCCCCATTTACTCTTCTGGATGGATTCAAGAATATCACCTATTCCTACTGCTCAACTTCCGTCACCAGTATTTGGCGAATCTCATTTAACCTAAAAACCCTAACTGATTTTCTTGAAGAGCTAATGCGTGGGGACCTCGACCAACCAATATACAATATCGCGATGGCTGTACGGCAATTACCATGTCCCGTCTGACGGTTTGCACTGCATCTCTGAAATATCCTGACCGTGTTACTAACTCATGCAAAACAGTCCAAACCCAATGAGTTGTTGCCGAATCCCCAAAGTGCTGGCCGTCACGCTGCCATGTGTGCGCGTTTCGTTCATAAACTTACGTGTTCTTCCAATGTCAGTCTTCCGGTTCCAATCAATTTCGCCACATTTTCTTCCCCAATAGGCTCGAATAACGGTTGTCCCTACCCCCAGAACCAGAGAGTTTGACGGATTTCAACTTGAAATACATTCTCTTAATAGCAACCCAATTTCTTCCCCACTCCGCCTCAGCTAGTTTCGACATATCACTTTTCCTGTCCGTGTTCTGGGCTAGAAAAATCAACATGTTGATATCATCCCATACCTGCAGTGGTTGCTTCGTACGTCTGAAGTTTTACGCACAACAAACCCAATGATGTCCAGCCCCTCCATTTAAAAGCTTAGTTTTTGCTCAGTCTCAAATGCAAGACACAATTCGTACACCCCATATGGGTTTTACCATGCCAGATATCCGCTGATTTAGACTGCGATTTAGATCTTGTTGAGACCTTATTTGAGCAAATTTTATAACTGCCCCGCTTCCACTCGTTTTCACGCACGAAAAATATGCGTCTGCAGTACCTTTGTCCTGATTTTAATATGATATTCATGTCTGAAGGTATGCCACTCACTAGTCGGGATTTAGCAATAATACTAGATTTATTTGCTTACCTTTAGGGCACGTATCAATAGGGACATGATCAAGTCCAAATAATTCGATCACGATGGGCAACAACATAACGGATGGAAAGGCAAGAAATAGAGCATGCCCCTTACATGACAAGAAATTGTAAGTCTCGTAGAACAAAAAATTAAGCATGGCTGGAGGGATGCGTGCATTTGAGAGAGAACATCGACCAAATTGAACTGAAAATCGAATTGGGGTCACAAAATGCTCAAGTGGAGGTGACCGAGTGTAAAAGTTTGCAGGAGGGGAAAACCACAGTCATCTCTAGGCTGTATCTTTGGGTGACGTGTAATAACAGAAACTCTAGAAGGCAAAACGAAGTCAGATTAGGGTTTCCATACGGTATCCTTATCATAAAGTGCATTCATAATGTGTACAAACCTCAGCAGTTGATTCGCGTCCTAAAGGAATGGTTCAGTTGAACTACGAAGTTGCGAAAAACTTGAGGAAAACAGGTTTCACACTTCAGCTGTTTTGAAGGCATTTACCTTTAAACATCATTCGGCCATCATTACTGATGCTTCTCCAACCAGGATGGGGGCAATCCTCAAACGGGGTGGCGGATCGGTGATCTGCATTTCCCGTTGACTTTCAAAAGCTGAAAATGGATATTCTAGGAATCAACGAGAAGCACGTGCGGTATGTTTGCTTGCCACACGGCTCCATAAGTATCTCTTGAATCAAAATTTGTCATTGCTACTGATCACGGATTATTGATCACCCAACAAAATCTCTAGCGAAGTCATCTACCGCTATGATGCAACGGTGGCTTAATGCACTTAGTTCGTACACCTATGGGCTTGTTCATCGTAGTGCGAAAATTATCCATCGTATGGATTTTTTGAATTTAATTCCATAATCCGACCCTGCTTCAAAAAATTCAGAATGTTTATTGAGCCAACCATTTTCATTCAAGTGGGATGCATTTACTGCTGATACATAGGAATATTTTGCTCCCNCTTACATGACAAGAAATTGTAAGTCTCGTAGAACAAAAATTAAGCATGGCTGGAGGGGTGCGTGCATTTGAGAGAGAACGTCGGCCAAATTGTACTGAAAATCAAATTGGGGTCATAAAAAGCTCAAGCGGAGATGACCGAGTTTGCGGGAGGGGAAAACAACAGTCATCTCCAAGCTCTATCTTTGGGTGACGTGTAATAACAGAAACTCTAGAAGGCAAATGAAGTTAGATTAGGGTTTCCATACGGTATCCTTATCATAAAAGTGGATTCATAATGTGTACAAACCTCAGGAGTTGATTCGAGTCCACAAGGAATAGTTCAGTTGAACTACGAAGTTGCGAAAACCTTGAGGAAAACAGGTTTCAAACTTCAGCTGTTTTGAAGGCGTTTTCCTTTAAACATCATTCGGCCATCATTACTGATGCTTCTCCAACCAGGATGGGAGTAATCCTCAAACAGGTTGGCGGATCGGTGATCTGCATTTCCCGTCGACTTTCAAAAGCTGAAAGTGGATATTCTAGGAATCAACGAGAAGCACGTGCGGTATGTTGGCTTGCCACACGGCCCCATAAGTATCTCTTGGATCAAAATTTGCCATTGCTACTGATCACGAATTCTTGATCACCCAACAAAATCTCCAGCGAAGTCATCTACCGCCATGATGCAACGGTGGCTTAATGCACTGAGTTCGTACACATAGAGGCTTGTTCATCGTAGTGCGAAAATTATTCATCGTATGGATTTTTTCACCATAATTCCATAATCTGACTCTGCTTCAGAAAATTCAGAATGTTTATTGAACCAACCATTTCCATTCAAGTGGGATGCATTTGCTGCTGATACATAGGAATATTTTGCTCCCATTTTTCTGAAACGTGGCTGGACGCAACAAGAGCGGCGTCGATTTCCTGATTTTCACGGTCGTTGCGGAAGTTTATCGGTTATCCTGGATGGTTTTTGTGCCGTAAGGATAGAGTTATCTTTCCACTGACTCAGCGAGCGGCTGTTCTGACCGATTCAACCTTGCAATCTTGATTTTGATACACTGAAATCCCGTTAACGCTTGTCATGCTGATGGATGGTATTGGATGCTGACACCAAGTATGCTGCTGAAATTTGTTAAGTGTGACATATGATTCACAATGGTGTCCGTGGCCAGTTACTTGCGGGACATTTCAACAAGCTCATGCCGACTACGCGGTTTTTTTCTCGGTACCTACTATGCTCTGTTATCGACATATGTTCGCTTTGGCCTGGAGTTTTTCTAGCTACGTCTCCAGGTGCAGGATTTACGCAGCAAGCATCGGGGAAAATATTCAGCTATGAAGGTGTACCAACTGATTTGGTCGCTGATGACAGCACAACACATGTTTAATGCTCTGCATAATCCCCAGTTGAATGTGCTTGCAAAGAGTTATGTGGGAACACTGAAATCTGCTATTACTTCACTCTCTCCCAATTCTTTTGTGGAATCGGACCCTAAGTTTGACAATGTTCTAATGTAATACAGGAATGCCGTTCATTCCGTCACCGGGAAGAGTCCCGCGTTTCCATTTTAATCTCACTCGTTGCGTAGAAGTCCTGGCTGTTCCAAAACGACTGATGTTACGTTTTTCAAGCATAATGATTGACAACATGCTACAGGACTAATACTTTCATCATATGGCAGACGGTGGTCACAATTATCGATTTGGATGATGTCTCTTGTCATCGGAGACAAATTGATCAGGTTGAATTTAATACCAAAGACCATTCCGCTTACGGCACTCCTGCTGGTTCAAATACTAATGAATCCCGAAATCTTTGGAAATGTATCGGAATATTGGTAGCTCCTGTGTATTATTTGGTAACTGATCAGGTGTCTGTTGATCTGTTCGTCAAGCTTAGCAATTGATTTGCAACCGTTTTGACACCATTCGAGGAGACATATTCAGTGCGCTATTGGTTGGAAGCAACCGACATGTTCCACGTCGCTATGAAATTTCAGAATTTGCGAGTTCCAAACACTGTGTTTCAGATGGCGGCGTCCAATAATGCACTATTGGAGATGTTTGATTCATCTGTGGTTTGGGTTTATTCGAATCCGCTTTACAAATTATTTGTTTACCCTTGGTTCCGTATAAGATTCTGAAACTGGGTTCGGAAGAGGATAGATACAGTTTCGGAGGAAACGGTTGCTTGCGGTACTATCTAAACAATACGCCCAGCTTTTGGCCGATTTCCCCAATCGGTCTTGGTTTTCTGTCACGCTAGTACTACAGCCAGCCATAGCGCAAGCTACATTGCATCTTTTGCCAACTGAAGGTACACATACCAAATAATTTCCACTCAGGTTATTGTATAAACACTGAACATCATTGGGCAGCCAGTTTCCCGAAAATATACCGCAAAAATGAACCCGCATTCTGCTGTCATGTGGGACTCTTCAGTCACACCATGCTCTTAACTTCAAAATGTTTCCGGGCGGATTAAAACTTATCACTTGCATTTTCGGACCAAAGACCACCTCAATATACACTCATATTTTCACTGCTCGCTAAATTTCATTGTCTCTCCACACAATCATACCACTGGGGGAAAACTCTGATGGAATATTTTCCTAGCGTCGCTGGGACACCGGGATGCCGAGATGGGGCGCAGAAGTTTGGAAGGATGCGCAGAAACAAGTTTCTCTCCATTTATTTCTCCAGGGACACGTCATAGCTTCGAAAATTCAATTCCATTGTGCGGATACTGAGTGCCTGTGAACAACCTCAAATTTGAATTGTTTGCCTAAACATTGCAACCTATGTTCAGTTCAGAGAACGTCGACGAAAATCAGGGCGATTGTAAAGCCTTTGATTCAGACAAATAAGAGCAGCACCCCACATATCGTAACAAAATGTTGAGCCTATGAACGGGCGTTATGGAGGAAGCTTGCTCGTGCAAGGTAGGGATCGTTCAAAGTCATCGAATGTCACCAGCACTACTTCAAATCAAGCGCCTTTTGTTTGCTTTAACGATGGCAGCCACACATCGATTCATCGGTGTTTTCCTTGCAAATTATAGATTCTTGTGCCATTGATCGCGAATTTGCAGGCGGAGGATCTAATTGCTTTATTCCATAACACCCTTCGCGGGCAGTTTCGTTTTTGGCCACGCCTGAGGTTATACTATGAGGTGAGTGCAAGTGTCTCTGTGTTGGTCTTTCGGGCGATTATCCTTTTCGTTTTTTGGGCAAATTTTGTAAAAAACGCTAATATGGAGATGCTTCTCACAGCCCCCTACCAAAGCCAGGTACTGATAGTGAAACTTTTCACCGTGGGGTGGAAACGACCTCGGAAGTGGTCTTGTTATGCACACTTGTCTTTCTGAGGGGAACGCTAAAGGCTCTGTGAATAATGGCTCTATTTCAGGAGTATCCATTAAGGTAGGCTTCACCGGACCAACGGAAAACAGTCTTATGTAAGTTCTCTCCAAAAGAGGTTAACTGAAGTAACAGGCTCTAGGTCACATCATTATACTTCGCATGTTCATTCTGTAATAATCTAGGTGCTCAACCTGACCGGAGGGTCGACTACACTCAACTGATGTGGCAGGTTGGCTTCCGAAGCAGACGCGAAAAGGTTAGGGCGAAGCCTAGAAAACACGAGATAAGTCTTGGAGAATGTTGTAAAATGTGTCCGGTTTCGACACCAAGAAAACCAAACTCATCATTTAAGGTTTGCATGCTTTCCTGGACACACTGGCCTACAGGTAGTTACGTGAGATTTCAGACGGATTTTTCTATAACCAAGCAGTTTCTAATCACTGAACAACCTGGCTCGCACTCTGCTTCCTTCGGGTGGCATGGCAGCTAGGCACTGAAAAGGTTTTGCAGCTGAACGATCATCCTATTTTTCCGTAAACGATATCCAGACAGATGTTGCCTCTGCTACTTTTCCCGTCGATAATCGGGCCTTTCAGAAAGTCGCAGTGATTTGAATTATAGACTGTTGACTGGTAGGTGGCGATATCGCTCGATATCTTTGGTTGTCTGAGGAGTGACGTTAGGTTTTCCCGGGTTTTGGGAATGCCACTGACCGTCAAAAATAATGGAATCCGCACCTCCAGCTTGTCATGTGGGTTTAATAATATTTGCTAGCGCTCCCTCCCTTAAAGGTTTCCAAGTGCTCGTTTGAAAGTGCCGATAAAGCGTTCGACCGTCAGATGGAGAATGGAACGGCGGTGATCTAACGTGGTGAATGCCGTTTCGCTAGCAAAACAATATGATAATATTGACTGTTAGTTGGTCCAGAAAAATCAACATCAAGACGCGATCAAGTTCACGGGTTCACGGATTGATACACAGGATCGAGGCTTTTGCCCAAGTTTCCCGGGCCGGTTTTGTTCTTGCCGTTCAGCGGTCGTCGTTCACCTGAAAGGCGCAAGTGAAAAAAAGGTGTTGCTCTGCTCTCCGTGTTCTCAGCGCCGGGCAATATGCTTGCCAGCGCTAGAATTCGCATAAATAAAGGTCTAATAGTGCTTTGGGTTCTAGAAGGAGCTTGGGCAACCGTCAGAGGAAGATCATTCCCCTTAGCTACTATGAAAAATAATAATAAAAAACTTGCCTAACGAATGTGTGCGCTCCGAGCTTGAAAATCTTACCACGTCCCACCGTGTGTTTGCTGAGTCAACGGTGAAAAACCTGTTGGCCAGGCTTTGTTGAAACAGGGAATAAGTAAGAATTAGGTCCCCTCGGAGGCGGCCATACTTCAGGGGATAGAGATCAAGCATCACGATACGCGCTTCGTAGTCCACGAATTTGAGGCCGGCAACCATTCTCGCAGCGGCTCGCTGGACGCGCTCAATGAGAATGAGGTCTTTCATGCGTCCTGAGTAGACAACTTGGTTGGCGCATTCCAGAAGCGGTCTGACGTAGGCCCCATAGAGTGTTCGGAAGTCCATTAGAGTGATACGGGAGAAGGTGATTCGGATCATCCGTAAAATGGCGAATTAATTTTGGGCTAATTTCTCATGGTGCAGTGAGAAGGACAAGTTTGAGGAGACCTAGATGCCTAAATCCGTTTTCTCATGATGTTTTTTGGTCTTTTCCCAAAATGCATGACAAAGGCATTCGCTGAGTCTCCTCCAGATGACATATGGACGCACTTCGTCATTCAGAGGAAGATACCAGTCCAACGACCACTGCTTGGCAGCGTCTACATCCATTTGGAGGGCACTGGCATTGGAACTCCAGGATTTCAAGTCGTCCGCAAAAAGTAGACATGGGCTTGCAAGAGCATCTGGAAGGTCGTTGCCGTAGACCAGCAGTGGTCCCAAGACGGAACCTTGAGGAACTCCAGTGG